ATTGCAAAATCTTTTTCCTTCATTCTACGGGTTCAAAATTGAAAGTAATTTTATGTAAATAATTACATTTTACTATTCATAATTTACAAAGTTTATTGTAATTATTTTCCATATCAAAATAATAATTATACTTATCAGCTGTCAAAACTTTGAAAAAATTATTTTCGTTATCACTTTAAGGTCTTAAAAAGTATGTTAATATATATAAAAAATTATTTATGTGTAGTACATTATTAATTAAATAGAGTTTCAATTGATCTTCCCTTAAATTATTTAAATTCTAACTCTTTCTTATCCAATTGGATTTCAATTCTAGCCTCCTCAAGTTAGATTTCATTTCAAATCTAGCCAAATTCCGTACAAGTCATTTCAATTATAGCCGCATTTGATCCCCATAAAAAAATTCAATCTTTCCATCTCACTTGATCATCTATCCGATCAGCCCCAACGTTAAACCATGATCATCCATCAAATTCCATTAAATGTCAATGATCAATCAACACTTCATTAATGAGAGCCGGTGAAATGCGGCTATAATTGAAAGACCAACCCCAACTTATTTCACCTCAAAGAGAGAGGAGAAATGAGGTGAAATAAGTTAGATTTCATTTCAAATCTAGCCAAATTCCGTACAAGTCATTTCAATTATAGCCGCATTTGATCCCCATAAAAAGTTTCCATCTTTCAATCTCACTCGTTCCTCTATCCGATCATCCCCAACCTTTAATCATGACCGTCCATCAAATTCCATTCAATGTCAAAGATCGATCAACACTTCATCTTTTTATTCAAATCCCAAAAGACCAACCCTAACTGGATTTTTTCTCGACGCCGTTGCTCTCCTCTATTAATGAGAGCCGGTGAGAGCTCCACCGCAAAAACTCGAGCCTCTTTCTTCTCCCTCTCCTCGTGAACCGAGAGTACCATCAAGGCGACCACGACGAGAAGAGAGTTGTCGGGAAGCCCCTTGCCTCATTTTCTCGATCAATCGGCGAATCCCGTCTTTTGCCATGCTGCTGGCAAAAACGAGGCAGATGCCACCAAATGGAGCCTTCACACACAAAGACGGTGAGGACCACCGGCAAAACCAAATCATCCCACGCCTCCTCTTTTATTTCTATCTACTCTGGAGATGTCAAGGAAAACAACAAAAAAACTAAGAACTGGGAAGCTTCGAGTAGTAGCGATTGCTCCAACCAGTGACCTCGACTCCAGCTCCAGTGATGAACGTCGTAATCGAGAAAATATATTAACATCAAGTATAACTTTTTGAGAGACATAGTAGCAAGTGGAAAAATAAATTTGTAATACATTCCTTCTCGTGAAATGATAGTTGATCCTTTACAAACGCTATATCGAAGGACTTGTATGAGAAACATCTTAAAGCTATAGGTCTACGTATAATATGATAATATTTATATACTGTAATATTACTCTATAGTCATAATAATTTCATCAATATATGACTATTTTGAATTTATATTCATATCTTATACGCATGTGATATTGATTTTAGAAATAAATAAGCTGAAAAAGTCAGAAGATTGACTCTTTCACACTAGCAATCACCTCTTACGTCGAGGATTATAAAGAGAAGAGTCTCACCACCATGTTATGACTTGTTTTGTTATCCAGATTAGAGTCTCTCTAAGAAGATGAATTTGAGGATCATTGAAAAGAAAATATCGAGTTAAACATCTAGAGATATGCAAACCAAGATTTGTACGATGTTTGGATTATTAAAAGAATGAGACACACTAATATAATATGAGAACATCATAGCACGTGTTTCATACCACGTGTATTAAGTGATCGATGGACTAATGAAACAATGGTTCACTGCTTCTATATTGCATGAGATCCCAAAAAGTGAAATTAACTTTTCATTGGAATAGACATGAGTGATTCAACAATGCATCGCATGTATAGGAAAACAATTGATATAGAACCAATAGATTCTAGTAGAAAGGGAAGAGGATTGAAAATGAACAATATAACTTGTATACACAAGTCACTATTACAATTGAATGTTATTGTGTATATAAAATTAAACATGAACTCGAGTTCATTTGTCTAAGAGGATGAAGGATCGAATAAGTAAATACTGAAGTACTGAGAGAAGTATGGGGCATTGTGAGTAATAGTTCCCTCATATTACTAATGAATTATTTCCATATGCGATTGAATTCTTGTACGGAACATGTAAAATCTGATAGGTAAGCTCTTGATACTCATCGACCGCACGAACTGTTTATCATACGAAACTGGGTGACTAGATGATGCCCAAATGGCTCAGATTCTACAGGACAATTGGAATCGCCATTAATGGGACCCAAATTAAACTAACATGCGCCTCAGGTTTAGGATAATTTTCTTAAAGATTATGAAGTAATTAAGGGGTCAAGTTTATTAAAAAAAAATTAAAAAACTTTGAGTAGGCAGCAAAATTCCCCCTCCAAATAAAAAAATAATTTTCAGGCTGCCAAGGCAGCGAATGAAAAAAATAAATAATTAAAAAAAATGTTGCGAGGGCAGCAATTCCATCGATATTTTTTTAAAAAAAAATTTACGAAAAGGCTGCCACAGTAGCGATATTAGGGGGAAAGGAGAATGTATTTTTTTTGAAGAAAATTGCTGCTCGGGCTGCAATTTTTAATTTTAACGGAGGAAAACATTCTTATGTGTTAGAAGAAAATCGCGTTGACAGTAGCCCTTTTGGTTTAAAAAAAATATGATGATTTGAAATGTTTGATAAATTCTTTTATCCTTTTAATTCCGAACTTCGATAAAAAGCTAGAAAGTGAGTTAGTCATTGACTAAGAAGGGAAGTTAAAATTTATAACGAATATCTATATTTTTATAAATGGCTCGTCGTTTTTAAAGTGTGATAGAACTAATAAATTCGTGGAGACATGAAAAATGAATTTGCTGAAGGTGTTAGAGGATTTGTCAATTATGCAATGTTACTTGATCCTTTTCAAAGTCATGGGTTAATAAGTATCGTCCTTGTGATCGATGCAACCGTATACATTTTTTTTCAAATGGAAAACAATGAAGGATCATGTTTATTGTGATGAATTTAAGTTTGAATATTTGGTGTTCATATCATGGAGAGATTGTCGAGGGGAATGGTATATTTTATAACTTAATCGTGGTCAAGTGAGTAATAGGTCTCTATATGAAAATAATGTTCAATATAATAGTGCGCATAAAATGGTCATTGATATTTTTGAGGTATACTTAGGGTGGAACCTAAACAATATTTTGAGGAAACTTTCAATGAAGAAGCAATGTGCTTCTATAAACAATTAATCAGTCATCCATAAAAGGGGAAACTAAAAAATTATACTATAATTACAAACACATACCCCTTTACATTCATACGGCCTACTAATTATACTATATACCCCTAACTAATTTCATTTAACAATTCTTTATATTATGATTTATGATATGATATTCCAACCTATTTTCTCGCTAGTGAAAGTAATATGATTGGAGCTTAGTGCTTCTCGATGTTTTGATGATCTCATTTTCCATCGAAAGAACTCCAAGTCTCCAAATTCAAGTCAAGAATCTAGAAAAATCATCATTGTTAAAGTTTAAGGTAAATTTTTTTAAAGATTTCTCTTTTTAATAAATGAACTAACAAAATAATTTTTTTTAAATATATCGTTTGACTATTGTTACAATAAATTTTTTGATCTCTCTCTCTCTCTCTCTTATTTTAACATAAATAAATAAGATGACCCGAGTGGCCATATATATATATATATATATATATATATATATATATATTTCTAGGGCTCGAGTCGAACTGTCGCTCTTCATTAAAAAAGAATTTTCATATGTTTGGACCGACCATGATAAAAAAAAATGAGGTTAGAATGTAAGAAACCGTAAGTCATGTGTTTCTCTATGACTTAAATTTTTTAAATGAGATATTTACATACTTCAACATTGATCATCATAGGCTGTTCTAATCCTAATTTTTAGTCTCGCTCTCGCTCCCACCAATTATTTTCAAGTGTTGGAACCATAATAGGAAATTAGGCCGAGATGAAAAGATCGGTAGATTATGTTGGAGATACAATTAAATAAATAAATAAAAACGTAGTTTCCATAATATATTAAGCTTAAAATAAGATAGTACAATTTATAACTACGTTGAAATATTTATATCTCCAAAATAAATCATGCCACATGAGTGAGATGTCCGAGTTGAAAACATGATTCAGTAATTAATTAAAATTATGTGCTATTTAATTAGTCAACATAATATAAATGACTTTGTCACAGGCTTCAACATTTTCAAAGAAAATATATAAAATTTTAATTAGGAAGTAAGAATTTAAATTAAGCAAATCTCATCATAAAATAAATTAAAGATGTGGTCAACATATATACATAAAACTAAGCATGATCATTCCATAAAAACCCTTTTTGGACTTACACTATTGGTGGGAAGTGAAAATGTTAAGATTTCTTTACCTTTCACAGTATATATATATAATTCTTCTCTAAGTCTTTTACTACACCAAATCCCCATTTCTCACTTTCATTTGTTTTCTCTATCATTATTTTTCTCTCTTCAAATGGCCGAATCTCCTGCTAAGAATGTCCCCCCTTTACAAGAAAAATAGCCATTAACAAAGAGAGATCGTGTCCCCTAAAGGCTTATTCTAGTACCTTAAAGTCAATGGCGACCAAAAAAATATGGTTGCTTTTCGTCCCTCTATGTCTCTTTGCTAAAAGACAATAGGGATGAGTTATTGTTACTCGTCCCTAGAAGTATTTGGGGACCAAGTTTTGTACCATTTTTTATGGTATTTACAAACTTATAGCGTCAACTTTTGCTGGTCCTAAAAGACCTATTAGGACAAGGCATCTTCAGTACAAGTTCTATATTGTAGAAATATATGTTTATAATATAAAACTTCAATTGTATAAAGACAGAAGATCAATCATGGAATGCCTTTATATATATATATAAAGCAGTTATAAAAATCAGATTAACATCCAATTGGTAGCAATGTAGCATTCTACAATCCAATATTTAGTCATTACAATCACCATACAAAATCTGAAAGTTTTCCAACTATCTCAGTAGAATGATAATTTCATCTTCTCTTTTGGTCGGAGACTAGTAAATTCATCAAATCATTACACCCTGTAAAAGACATAATAATATTGTTCATGACTACTAAAAGTTTCACTAGAGAACTAAAATTAGACATAGTTTAAATCGAAATTTCAACTTACCAATTTAAAGGTTGCACTCAATTCTAAAGCAAAGCTCTAAGAAATACATAATCTTTCATCTATAGATGAGCGTGTAGCTGCAAATTTATGGAGAAAATATCAATGATAAAACTAGAGTATATACTTTCTAAGTTGTTAAGTCATACAAAAAACATACGAACAAAAAGTAAATAGTAACATCTACCACGTCTAACTATAATAGAAAGAGAAGGGCAGACACAACTTGATATTGCTTCCTCATCAAAGCCCACTTCGACTTGAAGGGAAAAGAAACAAATTTTCTAGATAAGAAAATAAACGCAGATCTCTAACTTTTGGAGGTTTTTATACATTCCCTCGTGAAACTTAACCTCATTGTACTTAAATCCATAGGTTATTTAATGATTTCATAGTAATCTTACACAGTAAAAGAAATCGGAGATGTAATTTGTTAAGAATACCTGGCCTTCAAAAATCAAAGAAAATCATAAGACCAATAGAACCTCAGCGCGATCAACTGGTTCTGCAAAAATTTAATGGGTATTCGTCCCTCCTAACATCAAAAAACACACCAACAAAGTAGTAAGTTTAAATTTATTTCTTATTGTACACGTAATATGCTAAATATCAAACTCAATCTACTATGAGGATTGTGTCCTTTGTAAAATGTCAAAAATAAGTTCTAGTATACGCTTTTTTGGAAATTTTGTTGGCTTACCTAATAGTATCAAAAGTATGAATTAAAACTTTGAAGTTGGTGCTTTTAAATAAATAAAATACAACAAGAAAGATCATTAAGTTCATACAACATACAAAGCCTATCCTTTAACACCATTTTAATCTAAGGTAAAATATTATTCATCGATACTTTTTCCTATCAAGAACACATTTGTAAGTTTTGTCCCCCTTTTTTGTTCTGCAAAAGTATACACTTGGACAACATGCAAAGAAATAAAATGTAGCTGAATAAAATAGATAAATATTGGTTAAGTTTTGGATGATTTTTAAAACTCAATTGAAAGCTGAAACAGGAACAAAGTGGACATAAACCTCATTCCTTAAATTTGTATTATAATTCTTGATTGATAATTGTATTGAGCGCTATATTTAACATACAAATTGTCTAACTGAGCTCAAAATATAGTAAATCTTGTAATAATTCTCCCATAGGTAACTAGTGTTTTTCATTATTCTTTATTTTCATTTAGAAAATCTGGCGATGCTCCTTATGTTTTCACTATGGAAGAGGAGTCCTAGGAATTCAGATTGCATTCCTCAGGACCCAGTATAACTTCATCAAGCATGAACGGTATGCAAGGGTAGGTACTAGGACACTCAACTGTTAGTTATACTTGTAAAATACATGTCCTATCTTTCCAGTTGTCTAGCATCTCTCCACGAGACTATCTTAACACTTGCCCATAAGTATTTCAAAGAGAGCAGTAGTGTCCTCAAACTTCTCTACTTAATAGATTTACATTTGACATGCCTTTTCTCTGTTGAATTTTAAAATTGGTCCAAATGCAGTCATGTATTTGATTAAACCATTCCTATAGTGTACTTTATGATATATATATATATATATATATATATATATATATATATATACACACACAACTCCATGAGGCAAGGTGTGTACCAAAGAGATTCCTAACAAGGAGCTGAAATTAATATGTATATTAGTTTTACAATATATTCTCTGCCATGAACTTCAAAGAGTTTAAGTTAGAAGTCTCTTGCACTTATTATTTCTTCGCAAGAGTTATCTAGTAACGCTAAGAAAAGAAGTAAGTTTGCACTGTAAAGCACAATCTATTAATATCTTGACAAAACAATGTAAGAAATTAGTCCAAAGATTTTTACAACATTTAAGAATAGTAGAATTTTCACTCTGTTATTTAGAATGGATTGCACTATTACTGAAGTATGCAAAAGTTTGCACTAGTAACCGTAATATCAAGGGATTTAGAGAAATATTTTTACCTTAAACGAGAACTATAATTGACTTGTTCACCAAACCTTTGATCTGAAATGTGAAAATGAGTGGACAACTGTTTTTGGAGAAGAAATAATAACACAACCAAAAAAGGTTTTTTTCTTCAAAATTGGTAAAAGCCAACAACATATTATTTCAACAAAAAACACATATAGAACGAATTCGATGTCGTACGTACAAAATTTGAAGCACACAATAAAAATCATACAAAAAACCAAGCAAAAGTCAAAATTTGTAAATTAAATATCGCCAATAAGGATATCAAGTGAAGAAAGTACATGAAATCAGATAAACAAAGTAAGAATTCAAGCAATTGAAGTTCACTTTCAAAACTACCTACATTAATACACAACTTCTTGATGACATCCACTATTTCGAAATCTCTGTTAGATAGTTGATTGCAATAGTGAATGTTCAAAGAATTTGAAATATTTCACATCCTTAGAGGAATTCAATCGAATATATCAAAAGACAAGAACTTGAGTTTAAATATAAAGTAAAAGAAACAAACAACAAATTTAATCAAGTATATATGGCTTCAGACATGTGATCACAATTAACCTTGAAACTTGAGAGGGCATGGAAAAGATAGCCCTGCTAGGACTGAGCTCGGATTGAAAGAGTGGGTAACATATAACACATTTTTATGTGATTCACAAACATACAGGAATCAGTACAATCGAATAAGTACATAATATATTATATAATATGATTTGTTACTTTCTCTAACCACACCCCTTGAGAAACCAACACATATATAAAAAGGAAAAAAAGTGCCAATAGTGTGACACAATTGAGTATTCAAAGTGAGAAAAGAACTCAATTAGGTATTCAAAACGAGATAAGAGGAATCTGAAAAACTACAAAATTGATAATTGAATTTCATAAATCTAAGATCATCAAATAAGTGAAACAGAAAATTACCCCCATTTCGTTGATTATTACGGTTGTTGCAGAGACAAACTGTAATCTTCTTCGTCATATCGAAAGAGCATCACTTGAACGTGGGTTAATAATGAAGGGAAGGAAATTAGCTTCATTGGTTTATTAATTTTGCGCTATCAAACAATTTTCAGGTTGGTGATGCTGGAAGAGGCAACTTTAGTCAACGGATATGAACAAGAAGAGGTGTATTCAATGTAGGGAAGCTTGAAGGTGAGAATATTAGAGTTTAGGGATTTTACTATGTCCCAAAAAGAAAGAGTAATATATTTTAATTTAGTGAGGAATCGAGCCTTTTAACCCAGTAAATTTTATTTTGCGGACCAGTTATTCATTACTGTAGAGACCAGATTTAATCTCTTCATTGTCACAAAAAATAAAGAGACGAGAAGGAAAACTTGTCCCTATAAGGATACTTTTGAGGACCACATTTTCAACTCCTCCCAAAATGTTGCTCTCTAAAAATGCTTTTTCATGTAGTGGGCCCCCCTCCCCGTCCTCCCTCTCCCTTTTCCCCTGTCCCTTTCCCTCATCGTGCTCACGAGAAGGCTACACCAACTGATGACACTGAGATCTTAGGGGTTTATGGGATTAATTCCCCCATCCAATCAGTCAATGCTCCCCCTAGAAAGAAAGCAATCATGTCGAATATTGGGGAAGGAACATTTGAGGTTCGGTCCAAAAGGCTCAATGTTGAACTTGTTACACGTACATTTTGTGTTTGTGCCAGAACCAGCACCAGAATAGCCAGAGTTGTCAAAGAGCATGAGAACCTGTTATGCATGTGATATTGTGGTTGATACGCTGACATCATTAAGCATTCACATGCAATCTCATCAGGAGGTAAGTTCACATGTATTAGACTGGGACAGGGATTTTGACATGTCATCTTGTTCACCACTATTTGAACCACTTACACCTAATAAAAACTTCAGCGATCTCAATGTTGATGCGTTCGTCGTTGTTGCTTCTCCAAAAGCTTCAACATTGGGTCTTTTTTACAAAACCACAAACTTTCCTTCCCATGCATTAATCAGCTTCCCCTATACATGTTGAATGTTGGGGAAGGAATACATGTGGTTCGGAAAAAAATGGCCTAATGTTGAAGCTTTTGGAGAAGCAACAGCAGCGGATGCATCATCATTGAGATTGTTGGAGTTTTTATCAAGTGTAAGTGATTCAAATGATGGTGAACATGATGACCAGCCAAAATCTATGTCCCAGTCAGGAACATACAACTCACTTCCGAATGAGAATACATGTGGATGATTAACGAAGTTAGTGCATCAAACACAATTGCACTTACATGGCGGGTTATCATTCTCTCAGACATCTCTAATGATTCTAGTATTGGTGTTGGTATAGGTGCAGGTTGAGGCACAAGCCCAAACGCATGTGCAACACATTCAATATTGAGCCTTTTGGACCGAACCCACATATGTTACTTCCCAGCATTCAACATGTTTTCCCTTTTTTCTAGGAGGGTCATTGACTAAGTGTATGGGGACGCTACTCCCATAAACCCCTAAGATCTCAGTGTCAGTAGTTTGTGTAGCCTTCTCGCAAACACGATGAGGAGAAGGGGAAGGGGAAGAGGGAGGGGTAGATTGGTAATAGGGAGTGGTAAAAGGGGGAGGGTACATTTTTAGCATGATGGTTAGCCATATGAAGAGAACAAAAAAATAGAGAAAGCAAATTAAAGAGAGAAATGGGGATTGGGTGAAATAAAAGACTTAGAGAAGGATATTACATATAGTGTGAAAGGTAGAGAAAAAGTTAATATTTGAATTTTTTTTCACTTCCCACCAATAGTGTTGGTTCGCAATGGGCTTTTAAAAATTTACCAAGTCTAGTTTTAAGTATATATGTTGACCACATCTTTAATTTATTTTTTCATGAGATTTGTTGTATTTAAATTCTTACTTCCTAATTAAAACTTTATGTTATCTTTTGAAAATGTTGAAGCGTATGATAATATCATTTAAAATTATGTTTGACTGATTAAACAACACATATTTTAGTTATTTAATTAATAATGTTTTCAACTCACATATTTCGCACATGTGGATTGATTCGTTTTGGAGATAGAAAGATTTCAACATAATTATAATGTTCTCCATCTCTAATACCATGTTGAAAAGTTTGGGTATTCAGAGTCTTCTCCCCCTTCTAAGAAGGAAAAGGGTTAGGAATGAATTATTCATAACCTTAAGCTCAACTCATGATAAAAATACTGAAATTAGCACTATTATATTGGTGAGAAGCAGGTAGGCATAAAATACGTGAAGGGTGTCCAAAATATAGCCAACATAGAAAAAAATGTGGCCATGGAGAATTGAACCTTAATGGCAAACAACCTTGAACACACTATTTTCACTAAGCTACCACTTTATATACAACAAAATATTTCATTTTTCATTTAATTAATCGTTTTACAGCAGACCACATTAAACAAAATATACAAAACAATAATGCAACTAAGTTACCATTCAATATACAACAAAGTATTTCGTTTTTCATTTGATTAATTGTTTTTACAGTAGACCACATTAAACAAAATATACAAAACATAGATGGAGTGATTCGAACTTGGGTATTATGTACATTGGACACACTTTTTCCACTGAGGTATGGCTCATTGTTGTAGTTTAGGGTGTTCAAAATACTTAATATATAAATATCAAGTAATATTTGACCCGACAACAGTACTAAGAGGGATAATTTACTACATAAAAAACAAGCTCAAGAAAGTTATTCAATAAACATATCACTAGGAGTCATGAAAATGATACTTAGGGTGTAGAAAACATCATGGGAGATACTAGACATTGCGGAAGTAGAAACATAAATTATGGAACAAAAAAACTTAAAAGTTCAGTATTTATACAGGGAAGGAAATCAGCTAGTAGATGACATTGTTAATAGTGCTTCTAGTAATTCGAAGGTACAAGAATACTAGCAGTTTGAACAATTACCAACTAATTGCAAAAGAGTTCTAAACATGAACAAAGCACAAACCTCAAGTTTGACAATCAAATCAAGAAAGATAAAGGACATAAACAGTCAATATAGACAACATTTACATTAATCAAGATATGGTGAGTCTCACAAGATTTTATATGTACACCTCAATTTTTTTCAAGTACCAGTGCTTAAAATCTGAGAGGAATAAAGAGTTACTTGTTCTAACTTATGATCTTACAAAAGAGAAAATCGCCAAACTCGACGACTATACATCCAAATCACATACTCCATTTTCATAAAGAGGAAGATCGAGAGCAGCACATGTGGCTCCAAATCTAGCAACGATATTTGCTCCAGAAATCAGAATATTCTAAACCAAGATAAAGAAACATAATAGATTAGGAAGATAAGGAGGAGGAGTACCTACTGAAGCTGTTGAAGATGTGTATTGGTACGCCACCATGGTTGAATGTTGATAATCTAAAGAAGACAAAGCAGAATCATGAAGGCGGCGCAGAGAAGAATATGAAAGAGAGGATTCGAAAACAAATAGGGAAAATGTTAAAACTAGGGTTAGAAATACAAATCGTATTGATATATTTGGGCTAATTTTCTTTTTTAAGTTGGGCAAGAAATACAAGTATTTCTTATATTTATGATTGAATAAACGAGCTTCGAGCTCAAATGTAATATTAAAAAAGTAATATTTGACCTATATATATTATGTAATTTTTTGGTGAAGGTTGTTCAATTCATAGCTCCGGCCATGTTGGTGAGATCAATTTAAACAATTAAAATTAGAGTACTATTAAAAAAAGGTCAACACAATAATTATCGACTATTGGAGATTGCAATGTTAGTAATTTATATTTTGTGCACTCACATATTAATATATTATATGTAGATATGTTATTAATGAAGTAGTTCATTGTATGATTTAATAAAGTATTAAAGTTTGGAGCCTTAAAAATAATTTTCTATTCATATGAGCTTATTTTTGTAACACCTTGGTATTTGAAAGAACTAATATTAGAAATAACTAAATTGGAAATAACAAAATCTAAAATATTCCAAGTCATACTTAAGTTGTGAGTTTTGAGTCAATTTCAAATGATCATAACTTTCAGTACATGATGAGTCAGGTGAACCATAAGATATCAAATGAAAGGTCTGGGGAATCCTCTTTCCAATTCCATCGAGTTTGCTCGTATGAGAAAGATATGCCCATTTGTAGTTAGTTTGTCAAGTAAGAAAAGTTACTCGAAATATTGATTTGAGTCAGTTTTCATTATCCCAAAATACGCTTATGGTTTTAGAAGAAAGTTTAAGAAGAGAAAAAAGGAGAAGAGAGGGAAAGGTTAAAGATGTAAATCAAGATTTCTTATGGATCGAGGGTTGTTTCTCCAAGGGTTGGATCCCTAACAGGTATGTTAGTTCTCATAGTGATGGTTAATTAGCCCACACACCAATCACGTGATTTTAATGCAATTTCATTCTTGAGTTCTTAGGATTTGAGTTCTTGATGAGTTCTCTTGAAATTTCATTTGTAATCTTGATTTGTTGGGGTTTTGATGAATTCTTGAGATGAGTATTCATAATGAAGGTTGTTTTGAGTAGATTATCGTTACATATGTTGGGTTATTGAATCTAAGTGAGTGTGCAAGAGACCATTCGATTCTAGGATAGTTAGGATTAGAAAACGAGAAATAAATTCGTCGGGGGTTTTATAGGAAAGGGCTAGAGCGCCACCTCTGCACTAGGGTCGCGTGTCCCAACCATTTGTCTGTCGTTCTGAGTTCTTTCAAAGGATACATTTACTCCACTTTGATTCTAACTAATCTACATTACTTTGAAATATCTAGAAATCATTCATTACATGAATCATCATCTTGAATTCATCATTCACATTAAAGGTATAGTTAAGAGTCAAGTCTTCAGAGTTCATTCTAGTGTTTTGAGAAGTCTTTTCAAAACATTAAGCCGAAAAAGTTAGTTTTATTTCGTACTTCAAAGAAAATTCAGCAATGCCTAAGGGTCATTTTATTTCGTACCTTAATGTGAGAAAGTTCGTTTTCAACGGGTGCATCTATCACTTAGTTAGAGTTAATGATTCTAGTATTGAGACACCATATATTCAGTAAGTTCCAGTTATGAGTGAGCTTCCAGATGTCTTTCCAGATGAACTTCCCGAAGTCCCTCCTCATACTTGTCCATCTTCTCTCTTTTTCATCACCTAAGATGAAGATGAACCTTTATAAAGATAAACAAAAATGGGTAGTTGGGTTGGGTCGGGTTAAAATTGGATAATTTAAGAAAAATGGGTTAATTTGAGTCAATTTGGGGCTTTCCGTCAAATGAGGTATGGTGAAATATATTTTTATAGTAAGTATCCTCTGTTGTTTTCACCTTGTATAAATAAATATTAGAATCGTAATTATTAGTAATTAAATTAATTTTCTGATTATGTGAACTTACTTTATTGCAGGACATCATTAGATTATATATTGAAATTAATTATTTTTTTACGTCCAAAAAATAATGTTTATGTTCTTATGAAAAAATTGTTACACGAAATAAAAAAAGGAAAAAGGGTTAAAAATGCCTCTAAATTTAGTTTATTGTTTGATTTTGCCCTTGCCGTTAAAATGAAACTAAATTTACCCCTACCATTACTAATCACATCCTTCATTTGATCAAATTAACCAATTTTTTATTTAAATTACTCATTTTTAATTCGTGTGTTTCTCTATGACTTAAATGTTTTAAATGATATGTTTACATACTTTAAAATTGATCATCATAGGTTGTTCTAATCCTAATTTCAATTCTCGCTCCCGCTCCCACCAATTATTTTCAAGTGTTGGAACCATAATAGGAAATTAGGCCGAGATGAAAAGATCGGTAGATTATGTGGGAGATACAATTAAATAAATAAATAAAAACATAGTTTCCATAATATATTAAGCTTAAAATAACATAGTGCAAATTATAACTACGTTGAAATATTTATATCTCCAAAACGAATCATGCCACATGAGTGAGATGTCCGAGTTGAAAACATGATTCAGTAATTAATTAAAATTATGTGCTATTTAATTAGTCAACATAATATAAATGACATTGTCACAGGCTTCAACATTTTCAAAGAGAATATATAAAATTTTAATTAGGAAGTAAGAATTTAAATTAAGAAAATCTCATCATAAAATAAATTAAAGATGTGGTCAACATATATACATAAAACTAAGCATGATCATTCCATAAAAACCCTTTTTGGACTTACACTATTGGTGGGAAGTGAAAATGTTAAGATTTCTTTACCTTTCACACTATATATATAATCCTTCTCTAAGTCTTTTACTACACCAAATCCCATTTTCTCACTTTCATTTGTTTTCTCTATCATTATTTTTCTCTCTTCAGATGGCCGAATCTCCTGCTGAGAATGTCCCCCCATTACAAGTAAAATAGCCATTAACAAAGAGAGATCGTGTCCCCTAAAGGCTTATTCTAGTACCTTAAAGTCAATGGCGACCAAAAAAATATGGTTGCTTTTCGTCCCTCTATGTCTCTTTGCTAAAAGACAATAGGGAAGAGTTATTGTTACTCGTCCCTAAATGTATTTGGGGACCAAGTTTTGTACCATTTAATTATGGTATTTACAAACTTATAGCGTCAACTTTTGCTGGTCCTAAAAGACCTATTAGGACAAGGCATCTTCAGTACAAGTTTTATTTTGTAGAAATATATGTTTATAATATAAAACTTCAATTGTATAAAGACAGAAGATCAATTATGGAATGCCTTTATAGATGAGCGTGTTGCTGCAAATTTATGGAGAAAATATCAATGATAAAACTAGAGTATATACTTTCTAAGTTGTTTAGTCATACAAATAACATACGACAACAAGAAGTAAATAGTAACAACTACCACGTCTAACTATAATAGAAAGAGAAGGGCAGGAACAACTTGATATTGCGTCCTCATCAAAGCCCACTTCGACATGAAGGGAAAAGAAACAAATTTTCTAAATAAGAAAATAAACGCAGATCTCTAATTTTTGGAGGTTTTTATACATTCCCTCGTGAAACTTAACCTCATTGTACATAAATCCATAGGTTATTTAATGATTTCATAGTAATCTTACACATTAAAAGAAATCGGAGATGTAATTTGTTAAGAATACCTGGCTTTCAAAAATCAAAGAAAATCATAAGACCAATAGAACCTCAGCGTGATCAACTGGTTCTGCAAAAATTTAATGGGTATTCGTCCCTCCTAACATTAAATAATACACCAAAAAAGTAGTAAGTTGTTAAATTTATTTCTTATTGTACACGTAATATGCTAAATATCAATCTCAATCTACTATGAGGATTGTGTCCTTTGTAAAATGTCAAAAATAAGTTCTAGTATACGCTTTTTTGGAAATTTTGTTGGTTTACCTAATAGTATCAAAAGTATGAATTAAAACTTTGAAGTTGGTGCTTTTAAATAAATAAAATACTACAAGAAAGATCATTAAGTTCATACAACATACAAAGGCCTATCCTTTAACACCATTTTAATCTAAGGTAAAATATTATTCATCGATACTTTTTCCTATCGAGAACACATTTGTAAGTTTTGTCCCCCTTTTTTGTTCTGCAAAAGTATACACTTGGACAACATGCAAAGAAACAAAATGTAGCTGAATAAAATAGATAAATATTGGTTAAGTTTTGGATGATTTTTAAAACTCAATTGAAAGCTGAAACAGGAACAAAGTGGACATAAACCTCATTCCTTAAATTTGTATTATAATTCTTGCTTGATAATTGTATTGAGCGCTATATTTAACATACAAATTGTCTAACTGAGCTCAAAATATAGTAAATCTTGTAATAATTTTCCCATAGGTAACTAGAGTTTTTCATTATTCTTTATTTTCATTTAGAAAATCTGGTGATGCTCCTTATGTTTTCACTATGGAAGAGGAGTCCTAGGAATTCAGATTGCATTCCTCAGGACCCAGTATAACTTCATCAAGCATGAACGGTATGCAAGGGTAGGTACTAGGACGCTCAACTGTTTGTTATACTAGTAAAATACATGTCCTATCTTTCCAGTTGTCTAGCATCTCTCCACGAGACTATCATAATACTTTCACATAAGTATTTCAAAGAGAGCAGTAGTGTCCTCAAACTTCTCTACTTAATAGATTTACATTTGACATGCATTTTCTCTGTTGAATTTTAAAATTGGTCCAAATGCAGTCATGTATTTGATTAAACCATTCCTATAGTGTACTTTATGATATATATATATATATATATATATATATATATATATATATATATATATATATATACAACTCCATGAGGCAAGGTGTATACCAAAGAGATTCCTAACAAGGAGCTGAAATTAATATGTATATTAGTTTTACAATATATTCTCAGCCATGAACTTCAAAGAGTTTAAGTTAGAAGTCTCTTGCACTTATTATTTCTTCGCAAGAGTTATTGAGTAACGCTAAGAAAAGAAGTAAGTTTACACTGTAAAGCACAATCTATTAATTTCTTGACAAAACAAACAATGTAAGAAATTAGTCCAAAGATTTTTACAACATTTAAGAATAGTTGAATTTTCACTCTGTTATTTAGAATGGATTGCACTATTACTGAAGTATGCAAAAGTCTGCACTAGTAACCGTAATATCAAGGGATTTAGAGAAATATTTTCACCTTAAACAAGAACTATAATTGACTTGTTCACCAAACCTTTGATCTGAAATGTGAAAATGAGTGGACAACTGTTTTTGAAGAAGAAATAATAACACAACCAAAAAAGGTTTTTTTCTTTAAAATTGGTAAAAGCCAACAACATATTATTTCAACAAAAAACACATATAGAACGAATTCGATGTCGTACGTACAGAATTTGAAGCACATAAAAAATCATAAAAAAAACCAAGCAAAAGTCAAAATTTGTAGATTGAATATCGCCAATAAGGATATCAAGTGAAGAAAGTACATGTAATCAGATAAACAAAGTAAGAATTCAAGCAATTGAAGTTCACTTTCAAAACTACCTACATTAATACACAACTTCTTGATGACATCCACTATTTCGAAATCTCTGTGGGATAGTTGATTGCAATAGTGAATGTTCAAAGAATTAGAAATATTTCACATCTTTAAAGGAATTCAATCGAATATATCAAAAGACAAGAACTTGAGTTGAAATATAAAGTTAAAGAAACTAACAACAAAGTTAATCATGTATATATGGCTTCAGACATGTGATCACAATTAACCTTGAAACTTGAGAGGGCATGAAAAAGATAGCCCTGCTAGGACTGAGCTCGGCTTGAAAGAGTGGGTAACATATAACACATTTTTATGTGATTCACGAACATACAGGAATCAGTACAATCTAATAAGTACATAATATATTATATAATATGATTTGTTACTTTCTCTAACCACACCCCTTGAGCAACAAACACATATATAAAAAGGAAAAAAAGTACCATTAGTGTGACACAATTGAGTATTCAAAGTGATAAAAGAACTCAATTAAGTATTCAAAACGAGATAAGAGGAATCTGAAAAACTACAAAATTGATAATTGAATTTCATAAATCTAAGATCATCAAATAAGTGAAACAGAAAATTACCCCCATTTCATTGATTATTACGGTTGTTGCAAAGACCAACTGTAATCTTCTTCGTCATATCGAAAGAGCATCACTTGAACGTGGGTTAATCATGAAGGGAAGGAAATTAGCTTCATTGGTTTATTAATTTTGCGCTATCAAAAAATTTTAAGGTTGGTGATGCTGGAAGAGGCAACTTTAGTCAACGGATATGAACAAGAAGAGGTGTATTCAATGTAGGGAAACTTGAAGGTGAGCATATTAGAGTTTAGGGATTTTACTATGTCCCAAAAAGAAAGAGTAATATATTTTAATTTAGTGAGGAATCATGCCTTTTAACCCACTAAATTTTATTTTGGGGACCAGTTATTCATTACTGTAAAGACCATATTTAATCTCTTCGTTGTCACAAAAAATAAAGAGACGAGAAGGAAAACTTGTCCCTGTAAGGATACTTTTGAGGACCACATTTTCAACTCCTCCCAAAATTTTGGTCTCTAAAAATGTTTTTTCATGTAGTGGGCCCCCCTCCCCATCCTCCCTCTCCCTTTTCCCCTGCCCCTTTCCCTCATCGTGTTCACGAGAAGGCTACACCAACTGATGACACTGAGATCTTAGGGGTTTATGGGATTAATTCCCCCATCCAATCAGTCAATGCTCCCCCTAGAAAGAAAGCAATCATGTCGAATATTGGGGAAGGAACATTTGAGGTTCGGTCCAAAAGGCCCAATGTTGAACTTATTACACGTAGATTTTGTGCTTGTGCCAGCACCAGCACCAAAATAGCCAGAGTTGTCAAAGAGCATGAGAACCTGTTATGCATGTGATATTGTGTTTGATACGCTGACATCATTGAGCATTCACATGCAGTCTCATCAGGAGGTGAGTTCATATGTATTAGACTGGGACGGGGATTTTGACAGGTCATCATGTTCACAACTATTTGAACCACTTACACCTAATAAAAACATCAGCGATCTCAATGTTGATGCGTTCGTCGTTGTTGCTGCTCCAAAAGCTTCAACATTGGGTCTTTTTAACAAAACCACAAACGTTCCTTCCCATGCATTAATAAGCTTCCCCTATACATGTTGAATGTTGGGGAAGGAATACATGTGGTTCGGGAAAAAATGGCCTAATGTTGAAGCTTTTGGAGCAGCAACAGCAGCGGATGCATCATCATTGAGATTGTTGGAGTTTTCATCAAGTGTGAGTGGTTCAAATAATGGTGAACGTGATGACCAGCCAAAATCTATGTCCCAATCAGGAACATACAACTCACTTCTGAATGAGAATACATGTGGATGATTAACAATGTTAGTGCATCAAACACAATTGCACATACATGACGGGTTATCATTCTCTCAGACATCTCTGATGATTCTATTATTGGTGTTGGTATAGGTGCAGGTTGAGGCACAAGCGCAAAGGCATGTGCATTACATTCAATATTGAGCCTTTTGGACCGAACCCACATATGTTACTTCCCAGCATTCAACATGTTCTCCCTTTTTTCTAGGAGGGTCATTGACTAAGTGTATGGGGACGCTACTCCCATAAACCCCTAAGATCTCAGTGTCAGTAGTTTGTGTAGCCTTCTCGCAAACACGACGAGGAGAAGGGGAAGGGGAAGAGGGAGGGGGAGATTGGTAATAGGGAGTGGTAATAGGGGGAGGGTACATTTTTAGCATGATGGTTAGCCATATGAAGAGAACAAAAAAATAGAGAAAGCAAATTAAAGAGAGAAATGGGGATTGGGTGAAATAAAAGACTTAGAGAAGGATATTACATGTAGTGTGAAAGGTAGAGAAAAAGTTAATATTTAAATTTTGGTTCACTTCCCACCAAAGTTAATATATACATCTAGTTTTATGTATATATATGTTGACCACATATTTAATTTATTTTCTCATGAGATTTGTTGTATTTAAATTCTTACTTCCTAATTAAAACTTTATGTTTTCTTTTGAAAATGTTAAAGCGTATGCCAATGTCATTTAAAATTATGTTTGAAAGATTAAACAACACATATTTTAGTTATTTACTTAATATGTTTTCAACTCACATATTTCTCACATGTGGATTGATTCGTTTTGGAGATAGAAAGATTTCAACATAATTATAATGTTCTCCATCTCTAATACTATGTTGAAAAGTTTGGGTATTCGGAGTCTTCTCCCCCTTCTAAGAAGGAAAAGGGTTAGGAATGAATTATTCATAACCTTAAGCTAAACTCATGATAAAAATACTGAAATTAGCACTATTATATTGGTGAGAAGCATGTAGGCATAAATTCATGAAGGGTGTCCAAAATAAAGCCAACATAGAAAAAAATGTGGCCATGGAGAACTGAACCTTAATGGCAAACAACCTTGACCACACTATTGTCACTAAGATACCACTCTATATACAACAAAATATTTCATTTTTCATTTAATTAATCGTTTTACAGCAGACCACATTAAACAAAATATACAAAACACTAATACAACTAAGTTACCATTCAATATACCATAAAGTATTTTGTTTTTCATTTAATTAATTGTTTTACAGCAGACCAGATTAATCAAAATATACAAAACATAGATGGAGTGATTCGAACTTGGGTAATATGTACATTGGACACACTTTTTCCACTGAGCTATGGCTCATTGTTGTAGTTTAGGGTGTTCAAAATACTTAATATATAAATATCAAGTAATATTTGACCCGACAACAGTACTAAGAGGGATAATTTACTACATAAAAAACAAGCTTAAGAAAGTTATTCAATAAAAATATCACTAGGAGTCATGAAAATTATACTTAGGGTGTAGAAAACATCATGGGAGATACTAGACATTGCGGAAGTAGAAACATAAATTATGGAACAAAAAAACTTAAAATTTTAGTATTTATACAGGGAAGGAAATCAGCTAGAAGATGTCATTGTTAATAGTGCTTATAGTAATTCGAAGGAACAAGAATACAAGCAGTTTAAACAATTACCATCTAATTGCAGAAGAGTTCTAAACATGAACAAAGCACAAACCTCAAGTTTGAGAATCAAATCAAGAAAGATAAAGGACATAAACAGTCAATATAGAAAACATTTACATTAATCAAGATGTGGTGAGTCTCACAAGATTTTATATGTACACCTCAATTTTTTTCGAGTACCAGTGCTTAAAATCTGAGAGGAATAAAGAGTTACCTGTTCTAACTTATGATCTTACAAAAGAGAAAATCGCCAAACTCGAGGACTATACATCCAAACCACATACTCCATTTTCATAAAGAGGAAGATCGAGAGCAACACATTTGGCTCCACAACTACAAACGATATTTGCTTAGAAATCAGAATATTCTAAACCAAGATAAAGAAACATAATAGATTAGGAAGATAAGGAGGAGAAGTACCTACTGAAGCTGTTGAAGATGTGTAGTGGTACGCCACCATGGTTGAATGTTGATAATCTAAAGAAGACAAAGCAGAATCATGAAGGCGGCGCAGAGAAGAATATGAAAGAGAGGATTCGAAAACAAATAGGGAAAATGTTAAAACTAGGGTAAGAAATACAAATCGTATTGATATATTTGGGCTAACTTTCTTTTTTAAGTTGGGCCAGAAATACAAGTATTTCTTATATTTATGATTGAATAAACGAGCTTTGAGCTCAAATTTGATATTAAAAAAGTAATATTTGACCTACATATATATCATGTAATTTTTTGGTGAAGGTTGTTCAATTCATAGCTCCGGCCATGTTGGTGAGATCAATTTAAACAATTAAAATTAGAGTTCTATTAAAAAAAGGTCAACACAATAATTATCGACTATTGGAGATTGCAATGTTAGTAGTTTATATTTTTTGTGCACTCACATATTAATATATTATATGTTATGTTATTAATGAAGTATTTCATTGTATGATCTAATAAAGTATTAATGTTTGGAGCCTTAAAAACAATTTTCTATTCATATGAGTTTATTTTTGTAACACCTTGGTATTTGAAAGAACTAATATTAGAAATAACTAAATTGGAAATAACAAAATCTAAAATATTCCAAGTCATACTTAAGTTGTGAGTTTTGAGTCAATTTCAAATGATCATAACTTTCAGTACATGATGAGTCAGGTGAACCATAAGATATCAAATGAAAGGTCTGGGGAATCCTCTTTCCAATTCCATCGAGTTTGCTCGTATAAGAAAGATATGCCCATTTGTAGTTAGTTTGTCCAGTAAGAAAAGTTACCCGAAATAGTGATTTGAGTCAATTTTCATTATCCCAAAATACGCTTATGATTTTAGAAGAAAGTTTAAGAAGAGAAAAAAGGAGAAGAGAGGGAAAGGTTAAAGATGTAAATCAAGATTTCTTATGGATCGAGGGTTGTTTCTCCAAGGGTTGGATTCCTAACAGGTATGTGAGTTCTCATAGTGATGGTTAATTAACCCACACACCAATCATGTGATTTTAATGCAATTTCATTCTTGATACTTGTCAATCTTCTTTCTTTTTCATCACCTAAGATGAAGATGAACCGTTATAAAGATAAATAAAAATGGGTGATACTTAGATGGGTTGGGTCGGATTAAAATTGGATAATTTTAGAAAAATGGGTTAATTTGAGTCAATTTGGGGCTTTTCGTCAAATGAGGTATGGTGAAATATATTTGTATAGTAAGTATCCTCTGTTGTTTTCACCTTGTATAAATAAATATTAGAATCGCAATTATTAGTAATAAAATTAATTTTCTGATTATGTGAACTTACTTTATTGCAGGACATCATTACATTATATATTGAAATTAATAAGCATTGTATTCGATATTTGACTAAGTTATTACCTCGTACCAATCAATACTAGTATATCCTAACTCTTATCATTACCTCATATTAAGCATCGTATTCGATATTTGACTAAGTTATTACCTCGTACCAATTAATATTAGTCTACTAGATAGTATACACAAAATCTATGTTAATAATTCTTTTCCTATTATCTACCTCCTTGGTTCGGCAAGTAGCATTAAGGCGAGTTCTAACATTGGTCATCCGTTAAAAAGACTTCTAAGCAAAAGAATTATTAATACATGCAAGACACTATTCTAGAAATGTTATTTTAGTTAGGGTTTATCTCATTATTTGCCTATGATTCCCACAACCCTAGTTATGGAGTTTAGTTACTCATGGCCATAAACACAATATTCAAATATATTAAATAAGAGTTCGTGTACTTACTTCAATGAGAAAGAGTAAAATCCAAAAGTTTGCTTGATTAATCACCAAAAATCACTTGCAAGAATCTCCCAATCTAACACTAATATACAAAGTCTAATAATATGATGTCTAACAATATGGAGTCTAACCTCAAAAACGAGGTTTTTCGAACTATTTATTAAAAAATAAAAAAACCTAATTAAACAAGGACTTTGTTTGCTGGAAATCTGCCAGGACACGGCTGGATCGACGGAACTCACAACGGATCATCGTGGTCACGACGGACCGTCATGGACTCCGTCGTCCCATACTTGTGCAATTTCTTCTGCTGCTCTCTTCACCACCCTCGACGGCAAGTATGACGTACCGTCATAGGCACAACGGTTCGTCAAGGGTCTTCGTTTCAAAACACTTCAACTCTTGGAATCTGGGTACTGGGATTACTTCTCTGAACTTCATGACGAACCTGCAGGACAGACCGTCATAGCCACGACGGACCGTTACAAGCTTCGTAACCCCACACTTGGTCAGACTTCCCCATCTTCCTTCAGCAGCTTCACTATGCTGCCACCTACGGACCGTCACAAGCATGATGGACCGTCATAATCTCCGTAGGTGGTCTCTTCTGCATTTCTTTGCTCAAAATCTCCGCATTCAGTTTTGTACAGATTTCCTGCAAAACAAAGAGAAACTTATATAAAAATTAGAACAAAAAAAGCTTTTGGACACACTAAACTTAAGGAAAAAATATTAATTATACTGTGAAACCACGGTATATCAACACCCTCAACTTAAATTCGTTGTTTGTCCCCAAGCGACGCACTATGACTCACTACACAATCTTTGTACAATAGTATCCATGTTTTATCCTTTGAAATCATTTGGCTATCAATACCAATTAATCTCATCAAATCTATGCATGCTATCACTATTAGGCTTGAATTTTGTGGGATCAGAACATGACACAGACTCACCATTCACTAACACCTATCCTCTTCAATTTCTCACCGAGGTGCTAACAATTCCGGTATTGCAACTAGTGTCCTCACTTTATAACAAAATCCTCATTTTTCACACAATGATTTTAGTTTGAGTATAAGGATTAATTTTTCAACACTTACTCTCAGAATAAAGTCACACTCATTCATACCTATTGCCATAAGCTTGCCCTTATTTTCACTGCCTTAAATTCGCTATACAACCCTTAGGATCACGATAGGACTTTCTTAGCTAGTAACATAGGCTCAGGGTCAGGTAGGGTATATTTAGGTATACATTAGTGACTTTTTTCCCTCCTTGACATATCGGCTAAACCTTCCACTTTCTATCATTTTATCTCGCCCAGTTTCTCATATTCTTTCACCTTGCTATTTTCTCTTCTTTCTTCATTTGTGTAAGTGACTCTCTTCTTTTCTTGCTTGTATTTCTTGTATATTTTTCTTTTTTTTCACTTTTCTTTCAACTAATTCTTGAGTCACTTTACTTTTGTTCTTTCTCTCTCTTTGTTCTTTCAACCCCACTTTCCAGAGCATTTCTCATAATAGCCACCCTCACCTCATGGCTTTGCCATGAGTCAAGGTACACAATACCCAAAGTTGGGTCAGGGCCATACGAAGGTTGTTTACTGCATTAGCCACCCTCAACTTATGCTTTTGGCATAAGCTGAGGTGCACATGTCCAAGGAGGGGCCAGGGCCAACATATTGTTCCCAGAAAAGATCGGTTGAGGTGAAAAAGAAAGGTCTATTTTTAAGCTCAGATCATTTGGATCAAAGAAGGATATATTTCATTTAGTTTTCTTCTATTTAGGCTAAAGATGGGCTATATTGAATAAGGGCCTATGATCCTTTCCTAATTGTCTGTTACAGCTTACTTTTAGCAGGACTAACCAGACAAGTTCTAGCTCAATACCAATAGTGAACTTATTCGAATTTTCCTCACACTCACTTGACATCTCATCACTATACCAGATTATTAGACACCTAGTTCGAATTTAAGACTTAGGGTAATGCAATGGTGTAACTCTATGTCATGCTTAGAGCCACACAATTATCAGTTACTATGCCTAGTCATGCATCATTTTCCACTTTATCAGGATATCATTTTAGCCATCATGCTCAAGAATTAAACTATGTACAAAAGATATAAACATGTCGGTTCAACAGAAAAAGTAATCAGTCTTTTGGGGGAAAAGAACACAGGCAAGAAAACCCCAAAAGAGGATAGTGAATTGGGATACTCAGACTTCACCCTAACACTCACTTTCCATTTACCCCACCCCAACAAAAAAGCATGCAATTGTCCCCACTGCATAGAAATTTAAATACTAGAGTGTTAGGTGAAGCAAACCTGTGGCGCAAAGCGCCGTCGATCAGCAAGCTGGTGGGTCCAGTTCCCCAGAACCCACGTCCTCTACAAACTGGACACCCTCAGTAGTGTCCTCAGCAACAACCGCACTATCAGTAGTGCCTCCTGCTATCTCCACAGTACGGGAGATAGACGCCCCAACCGCTAACTCTGATGCTCTCATCTGATGCGCCTCCTCCCCAGCAAGTGAGGCTCTCCTCGCAGCCTCCATCTCTCGGTGCTCCTTCTTCCGTGCTCGCGCCTCGTCCTCTGCTCGACCCCTATGCCTCTTGGCATTCTCTCGAGGGGAAGGTGGTCGAATATCTGAGGTGGCGAATAGGGTCGCTAGCACTGTGTCCTCAGCAGGATCGACAGAAGGGGCCTCAGACTCCGGCACCTAGCCTCTAAGATCGTGTCGATATATGCGAAAACTGTCAACTGCAGCCTGAAGAGTCGACACATCCACCGGAGAGGCTGGTCGGTCTAGCACCCTCAACTCAAAGGCGTCCAAGCTGGTTAACCTCAGCGATCTTCCGCTCTGTATAATGTACCATTTTCCGCTCTAGGCGCTATTCTGACTTAGTAATCAACTTCTGCATCCACGGCTGGATATGATGCAGAAGTGTAACCATTTGTGCCTCTAATTTTTAGACCGTAGCAAGCGGGACCAGTGCCGGTAGAGGGGCTGTGCAAGAGGAACTCGGGGCAGTGCTACTACCCGGGATAGACTCGACCGGTGTAGTGTAAGTGGACGCCACCTGTGTAGCCGTGCGGGCCTAGGCGACCGCATTAGTAAGATCATCAGCAAGTGGGGGCAGCTCTAGACGGGGCCCTCTGTGTGGAGCCAACTCATTGGCCTCATCTCTGATGAGGCCGATGTCAACAGTGCCCTGCGGGGTCTTAAGCTGATCTACATGCCATATAGGCACACCTGCAGACCTGTAGAGAGAAAAAATCATGCACGGGAAGGGG